CTCAATGGCGCACATCTCCACCCGACGCTCCAAGGTCAACAACTTGTAGTACATCGCTTGGTGCGAACCATGGCGGCAGGCAGATGACGAGCTCAAATTGGAAGTGCAAGACAGAAGAAGGGATCAACATCGATATAGATGGGAGGAAGAGGGTGGTGGGGACGGGGTTAAGGGAATGGCCTTTCTAGTGGCGGCGCAACGGCTGTGGGCAGGTGGGTGGCGCCGGGATCAGCATGGCGGCGAAAGGGGAAGTGACGTCCTGCCGCGCGCGGGTTGAATCTGGGCGGGAAAAAGGCGTTTATCGCTTGACAGTGGTGACCCACGCGCCACTTTTCCTTCCGCGGAGCCCCCAAGTGCCCCCCAGTGCGCTGGGTTCGGCCTGGGATCGCCGGGCCAAAAAAACTGGGCCGAACTAGTGGAATTCGGCGTCCTGGAGACACGACTGGGGTTTTGTTTTGCGCTGACAAAAAAAGAGGGGTCTTGTGCGGCTGTTGAGGTCCTCCTCCCACACCTCCTTTTGCTCTGGCGCCTCCGCCACCTCCTGCCCCTCCAGCTCCTCCTCCTCCAGAGAGTGCCTCAATGGCGCACATCTCCACCCGACGCTCCAAGGTCAACAACTTGTAGTACATCGCTTGGTGCGAACCATGGCGGCAGGCAAATGACGAGCTCAAATTGGAAGTGCAAGACAGAAGAAGGGATCAACGACGATATAGATGGGAGGAAGAGGATGGTGGGGAGGGGGTTAGGGTTGCCTCACCACCAGCTTAAATGGTCCCTTGTGCGGCACATCGGAGCGGCGTCATGAATGCATCCTCACCATTTCACATATGGGCTGAGTTTGGGGGATACCAGACAACCCAGATGTGTAGAGTCGATTTGAGGGGTTAGAACGGGTGACAAATTCGTGATCAAGCTACTGGGTTGTCTGCCCGAATGTATATAGAAGGTTTGAGAGGTCCGGTTGTAGATGCTCAATTTTTATTTTTTTGACAGCATCCGGTTATAGATGGCCGGCCTGAAATGTTAAGCAACTGGCTGGTTCGCACGCTATGAAGGGGGAAAGGGCACGTCTCGTCTTCTCTTGCGTTATGCGCTGCCAGTCCGGGTCGAAGAAAGAGAAGGCTTGTCTCTCCCTCCATCTGGCCATTTTTTTCAAAAAGGGGGTTTACCCCAGCCTCTGCATCAGAAAGATGCATACGACTCATCTTAGTAATAAAAATATCCAGCAACAAGTCTCCAAGTCTCGAAGTAAGAAGTAAACAAATGCTCACAGGAGCCAAACAAAGAAGACAAAGCCACAACCGGCTGGCAAATAAAAATAGGAGCACTACATGCCTATCCTATTACATGACCGCCGTCCAAACCGGTTGAAAATATCCCGAGCTACCATCTCCCATCGGGTAGACGCAGTAACCAAACGCTCCCTGGCCTCCGTCGGAGTGAGTAGCGACCACATACGGATCAACGCAGTGGCCCTGAAGATAACCTGCAAAAAGTGAATGTTCGTTGTTCTGTTAAAAACCAAATCATTTTTGCAGTTCCAGACTGCCCATAATAAAGCACACACGCCTACACGAATGTGCCTCGCTATATCTGAATCAATCCCATCGAGCCATGTTCCAAATAACATGTTGATAAAAGTGGGCGGATTAATATTAAAAGCAATATGAATCGACCGCCGCAGAATCTTGGCCAGCGGACAATCAAGAAAGAGGTGTGATAGTTTCGTTATGGTCGCAAAAACTACATCTTGCAGAACCCACCCAGTTGCGTTTTGCCAGATTATCCTTAGTCAAAATAACTTGTTTATGCACAAACCACATAAACACTTTGATTCTCAAAGGTACCTTCACTTTCCAAACGTGCTTTGAGGAAGGAATCACGCTAGAGTTAATAACATCCAGATACATGGATTTGACCGAGAACACGCCGTTCTTAGTTAGTTTCCAATACAACTGATCTGGCTGTTGAGACAACTGGACATCCATCAATCGTCTTACAAGATGAAGCCAGGCCTCCCAAAGATTTCCCACTAGCGTCCTCCGAAAACTAATATTGAGGGGAGTGGATTGTAGAACGGTTGCAACGTAGGCTTCTCTAGGTTGAACAACGTTATACAAAGTAGGATATTGAAGCGTAAGGGGAGTCTCCCCAAGCCACGTATCCTCCCAGAACCTCGTAGTAGCTCCATTTCCGACTAAGAACCTTGTCATGTTGAAAAAGAGTGGTTTGACTCTCATCAAGCCTTTCCAAAAATGATGAGTTAGTCGGCCTCACTGTCACCTGGGATAAGGTTTTAGAGTGAAGATACTTATTTCGCAAAATCTGAGCCCAAGTAGCCTCCGTCTCGGACGAAAGTTTGAACAACCACTTGCTAAGGATACATTTGTTTTTGACTTCCAGATTTTCAATACCTAGACCCCCTTGGTCCTTCGGCCTACAGATTATATCCCATTTAGCAAGCCTATACTTTCGTTTAAGCTCATCACTCTGCCAAAAGAATCGTGATCGATAGAAATCTAGCCTCTTCCTGACTCCCACCGGGACCTCAAAAAAGGATAGGAGAAACATAGGCATACTTGTGAGGACCGAATTAATCAAAATTAATCGCCCTCCATATGACATGAGCTTCCCTTTCCAACAGCTCAGTTTCTTCTCAAAACGATCCTCAATGCATTTCCACTCTTTGTTAGTCACCTTACGATGATGAATGGGTATACCTAAATACGTGAACGGTAACGTTCCCAATTCACATCCGAACAATTGTTTATAAGCCTCCTGGTCATCATTAGCTCGTCCAAAACAGAACAATTCGCTCTTGTGGAAGTTAATTTTTAACCCGGTCAATTGTTCAAATAAGCATAACACGAGCTTCATGTTTCTCGCTTTCGCCAAGTCGTGCTCCATGAAGATGATAGTATCATCAGCATACTGAAGGATGGAGATACCTCCATCAACTAAATGCGGAACAAGGCCGCCTACCTGCCCCGCATCCTTAGCCCGTCCTATTAAAATGATCAGCATATCTACCACTATGTTGAATAGGATCGGTGACATTGGATCTCCTTGCCTTAACCCTTTGTGTGTCTGGAAGTAGTGACCTATGTCATCATTCACTTTAATCCCTACACTCCCTTTTTGCGTAAAGGATTCAATCTGGTTTCTCCAGGACTGATCAAATCCTTTCATACGCAAAGCCTGTTGAAGGAAAGGCCATCTAACTTTATCGTATGCCTTTTCAAAATCCACTTTAAAAACAACGCCATCTAGTTTTTTTGAGTGAATCTCATGGAGCGTTTCATGCAAGACGACAACCCCTTCAAGGATATTTCTATCTGGCATGAAAGCAGTCTGGGACGGTTGCACCACAGGATGCGCAATCTATGTAAGTCTGTTCGTCCCAACCTTGGTGAAGATTTTGAAACTAACATTAAGCAGACATATAGGCCTGAACTGCTGAATGCGAACGGCCTCTATCTTCTTAGGAAGTAGAGTTATCGTTCCAAAATTCAGCTTAAACAATTGAAGCTGTCCAGCAAAAAGCTCATGGAACATCGGAATCAGGTCCCCCTTAATAAAGTGCCAACATTTTTATAAAACTCCACCGGAAACCCATCCGGTCCTGGAGCCTTATTATTTTTCATTTGTGCGATGGCCTCAAACACCTCTTTCTCCGTAAAGGGAGCAGTCAAAATCTCATTCTCGTCAGTCTCAAGTTGAGGAACATCCTCAACCCTTGACTCATCTAAGGAAACAAAATTCTCTTCCGGAGGTCCAAACAACTGCTTATAATAGTTGGTAATGTAAACTTTCAGAATTTCTTGACCAACTATCGTCCCTTCGTCTTGCTCTAATTGGAAAATCCTCTTCTTACGATGCTTTCCATTAGCAATCATATGAAAGAATTGAGTGTTATCCTCTCCTTGGACGATTTTGCGAACCTTAGCTCACAGCGCCCACTTCAATTCCTCCTCGCGGAGGAGATCTTTCAACTGCAGCTCAGCCTCCATCTTAGTTTCCAGCTCGCTGGTATCTAAAATAGAAGTTTTAGCTTTTACTTCTAGGGTCTGAATAAGTAGAAGGAGTCATTCCTTCTCAGCTTTATAAATCCCATGCGTATGCTTAGCCCATCCACGAAGGAACCTTCGTAGATGACAAATCTTGCATTGCCATCTTTCAATAGGTGACCTTCCTCCTGAGTCTTTAGCCCACTCTCTAGCTAACAGCTCGAGGAACCCTTCTCTTTCAAACCATGCAAGTTCAAACGAGAAAATATTCTTGTTACCCGCATGGGTTTGAGCCCCCGAGTCAACTAGTAACGGCGTGTGATCCGAGATACCTCGTGTCAGCGCTTGCACTGTTACCAGGGGAAACTTCTGTTCCCATTCGACGCTAGCTAAGACACGGTCTAGCTTCTCAAAAGTCGGGATTGGTAACGAGCTAGCCCAAGTGAATTTCCTACCCGAGAGCTCTATCTCTATGAGATCCAAGCTCTCAATGATGGTATTGAACATAAACGACCATCTGCCATCAAAATTCTCATTATTCTTTTCCTCCCTTCTTCGAATAATGTTGAAATCACCCGCCACTAAGATAGGGAGCTGCTCGTTACCACACACACGGACCAGATCGGCCAAGAAGTCTGGTTTGAGTTCTGGTTGCACGGCGCCGTAAACCGCCACCAAAGCCCAATCAAACCCATCGGCCTTAGTTCTGACCCGAAACTTTACCGCAAACTCTCCCAGAACTACACTCCGAACTTCCAAAGAATCACACTTAACCCCAAGTAAAACCCCACCGGATCTTCCTCGCGGAGGGAGGCAATGCCAGTCGAAATCTACCCCCTCCCCCCGATAAAGTGCTAAGAAATTGGGAAGTGAAGTTGTCTCTTCGAGTCTCTGACAAAGCAATAAAATCCAAATGATGTTCAAGAGAAGCATCCGCTAGAAACCTTCTTTTAGCCAAGTCTTTAAGACCTCTGCTATTCCAGAAAATGCCTCTCATATTTCATCATGAATTTTTTTAGAGGTACGGATCCTAGCACTTCTACGCACAGCCGACACAGGATAAACCTTCCGTTTCCAAGTTCGTTTAGGCTTAATGCGATCTTTAGTTCGGTCACCACACTCGGGCTCAGCCGCAATCACCAACGACTCATCTACATGGTTAGAGGTCTCAGGAAAAGCAAAACCCTCCTCCTCCTCCGTTCCCGGTAACGCAAGGTCAAGATCGGCACACAAACCATCAAGAACCCTGACCCCAAGCGCATCAATGTCCGACTCATTCATAGGTTTAACGGCAGCTATGTTACGAATAATTTCCAACGCCCTCTCTGCTTCTAAATCAAGAATGTCATTAACTGACCTAGAGATCTCCATATCATTACTACCAAGCGAAACTCCTAGTTGATTTGCATCATGAACAATCTCATCATTGGTAAAATGCAAAATTGAATTTGATTTATTAACAGACATACCGGTGGACATCTCGACGTCACGCAGCTTGGCCGCCCTCATAGCACACCTCAGCTGCATGTCATCAACGTCCGGCTGCTCCTGTAGCCTCCCGCTGATCCGCCTCCCCTCAGAGATAGGATCCGTAATCCCACCAAAGGCAATGACCTCCTCGCGTGAAGCTCTGCTAGGGGAAGGGCCTCCTGCCCGTCCCCCAACAGCGGTGACCCGTGCTGGGACCTCCGGCGCAGCACCAAAAGACGACGACATCTCCCGCGGCCTGTCCACGGGAGTCCCGCCGATAGCCGGAGCAGCCGACGGACCCGAGAGCGGCGAGGCCAGCCTAGGGGAGCGATCCGGGGAGTGGGGCGTCATAACGGCCACGCCACCCGACCCGCCCTCCGTGGCAGGAAGCGGCCTGGCAGGAAGGGGTGCGGTGGCCTCCTGCACGCACACCCCTCCGCACACAGCCGACCTCATGGGAGGGAGTGAAACCCCCGAGCTCGCCCTCGGCACCGACGATGATGGCGACACGGATCGCCGGGCCACCTGCCCGCCACCTCCAGCCGAGACTACCGTCGCAGCCACCTCCTCCATAACCGGAGAAGGAGTAGGAGAAGAGGGAGGGGCCTCCTGCCCCTCGTCACCTCCCACCTCAATAGGCTTCGACACACACGGACTTACCACGGGGCTCACTGGATCAACTCGGTCACACCAAAGCCTAGGCGGAGCCGAGAAAGCCCCCAAGGAACCAAGCTGCAAAGTACTCATCGGGACCGTGCCAGTTGACCTATCAGGAGCAGTGTCACCAGAATCAGACGGACCCAAAGGCCCCTTGGCCTTATCATCATTACTCTTAGCACTATCATCTTGGTTCCCCGAAGCACCTCCTCCCTCGGAGGTGTCCATAGGATTATCATCCTCAAACTCACGGAAAAGGTTAGGATCCTCATACTCAACATCCAACTGATACAGAACGCCTTCATGCGTCCAAGGCACCACGTCCGACAGGAACTCAATGTTAGCAACACTGACAAGTAAACGCGCCACCCCGTGAGCACGTGTGAACTGCATATCCACCTGCTCAGTCTTGCCAATCAAAGAACCCGGGGTCCACGTAACCAAAAAGCTGTCAGGGGAGCAAATGGCGCCCATGAGAAACGAACCCAAATCTGAGTTAACGGTGTGCCCTGCGACTCCTTCTTTTTCCACTCATCAAACTGCAACACAAAACTAGTACCCGTGACCCTGCTCATACCGAACTTGTGGATTCTCAGTTGATCCTCCTGGCCGTGGCGTCAGAGCTTCAGTTCCGTGGACCGGAGGGCACCTCGACGCGACGCTTGTGGTGCCGACGACAGACATTGGCAGGACTGGACCTGGACGTACGCCCGCTCGCTTGCTTTCCCGTCGGCCTGTACCGTTGTGCATACCGTCGAGCAGCTGGAGCGGCCGACGGCGACGGGGTGACCAGCCCAGGCTTTCGAACAAAGCCTTGGTTTGGAGCAACAACGTAGCAAAGCAAATAAATAATGCTGAGGGAACCATGCTAGCTGTGATTCCGGAATCACAGGAGATAGATACAAGTGCAGGGTAAAGAATGGGACGAGACTTTCCTGCTCCCTCCCCATGCTCCCATCCGTGCTCCCGCGTGCGTGGCTTGATTTGATTGGAAGAAAATAAGGCCCGGCCCCACCCCCTGAAAATCAGGGGGGAGATGATTAGATTAGAAAAGAAAAGGAGAAAAGGACAGCCGTAGGATGAAGTGGGAGCACGGATGGGAGCATGGGAAGGGAGCAGGCAAGCCGGATCCGAAAGAATGTGGCAACCATGCAGGAACAGAAAGTTTTCCGCTGGTGACACGGTTCATCAATCTGGTTCAATCGAATGGAGAAAAAAGTACTCCCTCCGTCTGAAAATACTTGTCGATGAAATTGATAAAAATGAATGTATCTAGAACTATAATAAGTCTAGATACATTCATCTCTGGGACAAGTATTTCCGGACGGAGGAAGTAGCATGAAAGCTTCCCGCGTCTCTGTCCATTGGATATTATGATCATCATTATGGGTCGCTGGAATATATGGATGCAGAGAAATCGACAGATCTTCAAGAATGAAACTCCTACGGTAAGAGCACGGAAATTCAAGCTGAAACATGACCTTTTACTGGTCAGGATCAGAACTAAATCAAAGAATGTGAACAGTCTGGATCAATGGATTGATTTCTTGGTCCTCTAGGTTTCCTCTCCCATGATTATCACCATGCATGTTAGAAAAAGACTGGTATCGGATAGCTCTTTGGGGCTGTTTTTATTTCCTTTCCTTTAGTTTGATGTAAATAACCTTATTAGATGTTGATGGAAAACAACTTCAAAAAATCCCGTCAACAGGAGATCCAGGTAATGAGGTGAAGGTAAAAAAGTTATGAAACGTTTAATAGCATGAACATTCTAATCATACCCGTCTTGTGATTTGACTGTTTATAGTGACTCAACTCAACGATTCTAACACTAAATCTCATGAAACTCTTGTACTCACTCCGTTCCTAAATACTTGTCTTTCTAGAGATTTCAACAAGTGACTACATGCGGCGCAAAATGAGTGAATCTACACTTTAAAATATGTCTACATACATCCGTATGTTGAGTCCATTTGAAATGCCTAGAAAGACAAGTATTTTGGAACGGAGGGAGTATTTATTAATCCTCTCTGTTTTCATATGCATTTTCGATCCTGTTTTTATTTTCCCTATCACTACATTTCCATAATCCGGCGAATCAAAGATGCCCTCGACATACATGCAAAGGCCACCTATCTAGTCTTGTAACAAGGGAAAATCTTTTCATCGGATTTGTCAAGTTTTCCGCGGATATTGTCATTTCTACTTTAACCAAAGTTCACATTGTCAACATTACCACAGTGGAAAATATGTTGAAGTGTGCTAGTTATGTGAGGCTAGTGACTACCCACTTAATATAAACTTTGATAACAAGATAGTAAGTCCCAAGATCTTGGCCCAAGGAATAACAACTCTTGACCAAACAGAAACTCCAAAACAATCAATATCTGTAGCTACCTTAAGTACAGTTAAAAAGTGCTGGCACACTGAAAAACTGTACTAGCTCCCGAGAGGACCCTAGCAAGTGCAAACTGCATACTTTAGTTTCAGGTGTGATTGGGCCACATGAATAAAAACGTAACAATAAAGAACACACATGAATATGCGAGTGCAAAATCGATGATTACAGAATATGTGAAAGTTGAAAGATTATGTAAAATGAATGGGCGAACAAAATGTTTGACTGAATGTAAAAAGTTCGAGTGTAGGTGGGCATTGAATTAAACAATTCTTAGGAATTTTGTGGAATAAGCATACTATCTAAAAAAATGTATGTCTACCTTTCACTCTGTAATTATGGCTCCACTAGCTCCATATATCTGGCGACGCATAGCAATGATGAGGCTACAGGTGCCTCAGTGGCGTCGCCGGCTTCTTGGCCATGCCATCGCAAACGCGGCCTCTCAACAAGCTGGATAAGACGCTGAGAATCAGAAGGGGTGACATTGGATATCCGCTGGGCACCTTCGTAATCCCAATTAGATTGATTACACTGTTGATGAGTTCTTCATTGACTCGGAGAAGGGAGAGTGCTTAAAATTTGGGTAATATGTCCTTTGTAGATCCCTCCTTTATCCTTGATAGCTCAGTCAGATATGGCTGTAGTTAATACTACTACATCAAGATAACCGAGGCAATGAACAACCTTGTAGCAAAATAACAAAATAGCAACCTGGGGATATTTTTGAAATGTCAGTGACCGAGAGAAAATTCTAATATGAGGAAACTAAATTATCTGATAGTATTATGCAAGCTCACCAGAACATAGATAGTATGTTGAATATATAGGTTGACCAGCTAACAAAATATCAGTTGTTGGGTAACTATGAACTTGTAAACAAAATAAAATACTGACCTGCAGTTTGTTTTTATCGGCCTTCTGCATGCGCAATATCTGAAAATATGGCTTCCTGTGCTGCGATGCTAATTGTTGAGTTGGTGGATGGTTTGTCTGAATGCACCGCGCTGATCTGAAGAGATGAAGCACCCTCTGCACGGTTGCTGTTGTAGCTTGCACTAGCCTGCTGCAGCTGGAGTGCGACCTCAAGGTTCCAAAGTACATCACCCATTGATGGCCTCTCTATGCTACGATCAGCTACACATTTCTCTGCTATCTCTGCAAAAACCCTGAAGCACTCAGGGGTGATTTCCTCCTTAACACGGGGGTCAACAATCTCCTCAAGTACACCGTTCTTCCAGCAAGATAGCGCCCAGTCACGCAAGCTCACTTGCTCATAAGGGAGCTCAGTGTTTATCACAGGGCGCGCACACAGGGTCTCAAACAACACGACCCCGAAAGAGTACACATCTGATTTTTTGGTGAGACGCTGCAGCCGGAAGTACTCCGGATCAAGATATCCAAAGGTGCCCTTCACAGCAGTGCTCATGTGGGTGTTTCCAATGTCTGGACTAGCCTTAGACAGACCGAAGTCGGAAACCTTTGCCATTAACCTATCATCCAGTAGGATGTTGGTGGTCTTGACGTCACGGTGGATGATTCCTTGCTCTACGCCGGTGTGGAGGTAATGCAGTCCTTGGGCTGCACCGATGCAAATCTCAAGGCGCTGCTGCCACGGTAGTGGTGGGTTCCTGGTGTTGTACAGATGCTCACGCAGTGTTCCATGAGCCATGTAGTCATACACCAGAATCATCTCATTCTTCTCCTCACAATAGCCAATCAGAGACACAAGGTGGCGATGGCGGAAATTGCACAGCATCTCGATTTCAGTCTGGAACTCATGAAAGCCTTGTTGGGATTTCTGGTCACATCGCTTGATTGCCACCTTTGTCCCTCCATCTATATCGCCGATGTAGACATTCCCGAAACCGCCTCTGCCGATAATAAGTGCTTCATCAAAGTCTTTGGTGGCAACTTGAATTTTAGCAAATGAGAAATGACGTACAAGATCACATGTAGACTTTATGCATTTAGTTGGATGCTTCACATGTCCATAGTCGGTCTTGCCGGGACTCTTCGCTACCTTCTTCCGTCTGTATATAACACACATGCTGAAAAGGGCAATCAACAATAAAGCAAAACCACCAGTAGTACCACCGATGATTGCTTGTATGCCACCTTTGGATTTTCTTTCACCATTAGATAGCCTAGTAGGATTCACATCAGGCTTTTGCGGAAGTGGAGGACTGAGCCCAGCAAGATTGCTCGGTCCGTAATTCTGTAGCTTGAAGACCTCGAGACCATTCAGAATTGCATCCGAATACTGTGGTTTACTTGAAAGATCAGGGTGAAGTGCAATCCACATGTCCACCTGACGAGAACCAATAGCCATGATAACATATTCAGTGTACGTTGGTCTACCGATTCCTCCGCTCCGGACGATGACATCCATTTGCTTCTGCGTTGTCTGGTTGTTGATGTAGATGAAGAATGACCTCTGATTCACCTTGGTAATAGGATACTTAATCTCACAGAAATGGAACCTTAGGAGGTAAAAGAAACCTGCATCAACCGGAAAAATCCATGTAAGGTTGTAGTTCAGGTTGATCTGTGCAGTTGGCCCCATCGACCGAGCTGTACCATAGACATCAACTGGGGCGGTGTAATTCGGCACTCTAGATGTATAACTGATAGTCAAATTATCATTTTTCCAAAAGGTCAACCCAGAGCCACCAAGTATGTATTGGGCATCATTGGCCCATGAGCGGTAAAAGCCCGAGTCACCTTCCGTGGAAATGGCTGGGCCCCCGACATTGAGCCGGTACATAGTCTGGAGGCTCATGTCAGCATCGAATGTGAATGGAGATGTGTTATCACCGCTGACTAATCTTATGTCAGGTGTTGCGAAGATGTCAGGCGTGGGCACAATCTCAATGCCATTCACAAATGCATAAGACCCATACTGTTGTGCTGATGGTGCAAAGGTGAGGTCCAAGCTGCCTGAAGAAACATTCACCGAGAATTCACGCACAAGGTAGGCAGAAGTGATCGCCTGAGCTGTTTGCAAAGCATTGAAGTCATTTAAGAGGACAAGATTCCGTGACGTGACTCCGAAGACGGCATCTGAGACAGCATAGTATTCGTAAGCAGTTGAAAAGAAGTATAGGCGTAAGAACATTCGGCCTGGACTGACAGGGAAGGAATAGGTGTAATTTGAAGTAAAGATGCGTGCAGTTGTATAAGGAACCCTGGGGGTGAGTGAAGGGGTTTGGCCTAAAGCAATGGCTGCAACTCCTTTCATTGATGGCGCGAATTTGGAGCCGGTGTCCCCATCCCAAGTACGACCACTATCATCATCGTTTTGGGTTGATGATCCGCAATTTAGGAGGATAAGGCCAGAGGTTGTGGAGTTGTTATCAGCCGCCTTGGCAATCGACAAGAGAGCTAGCAGTGTGAGGAATGTGAGGGTAACCGGTAAGGTTGGGAGCACCATTGCGGTGGTTGGTGTACCAGGATAAAATAATTGGGGACTCCCTTACATCAACGTGCTACAGGGGGGCAGTTGTATAGAGCAAGAACATTGTTATTTTCTTGGACTTTGGGGTAAGGAAATGTCGGGAAAATTGAGGATCTTAGGATCGTGCTATTGTTTAGTGAAGTTGGCGCACCTAGAGTGCCACAAAACCTGCAATCGCAGCAAAAAAGAAGTTGATAATTCAGTAAACTGAATCATGCAATTTGAACAAAAGCTCATTGATGCAAGGCAGAACATCCACGTGTCTGAGTAAGAGAACACAACTAATAATTGCAAGAACTTTAGTAAAGTGAAGTTCCTGGCATCACCGAAAGTTGAGAACAGTACCAGAAGACAGACATAGACAAAGCCTGCTCAATAATTTCTTTCCAATAGTAGTGCAAATAAGAAGAAGAAAAAAAAAAGAGTGCGAGAATTTAGCTCAACATAGAAGTAGCCAATATATATCTCACAAGGGAAGATCCAGAATGTACAAACAGAACGTTTAGGAAAGAAATCAAGTAAACATTAGTATACGTTTGTGCTTGAAAAATTCACACCAAGAGGAAACACATGGAGCAACAGTCCTTTTTTTGACCTGTGGAGCAACAGTCCTGAATGATGATTCCACATCTACAAAAGACATTGGTGGACAACTTGCCTTTTATTTTGATGTTTCCCCTAAAAGAGGTCTACTCTTCTTACTAGATTCGAAATCATACTTCTTAAAAGTCTAAAAACAAAACAATCCAAGCAGGAAAACCTCAATTGCTGTCACTCGAAAACACACAGTATGGTGATTGTGGATGAAAAAACTGACTTCAGGGGAATCCCTTGGCAAAATTTGGGGCAGAAGCTAAGCCTTAAAAGATTCAAGCCCAAGAATGGACACACAGAGCATATCCAACCGAATCAACTAGATAAAGGAGCTTGAAAAGAAGAGAAGGGGGATGCATGGTTACCTCAACAGGAAGGCCGAGCTCATGTGGGAAGAAAAATCAAAGCCATGGGCGACATGAAGGCCCGAGCAGCAGCAGTTTCGGCGCTTTTGGTGGGCACAGGTGATGAGATTGAGCATGCACTCGCTGAGTGCTTTAGTGGACGAAAATATGTGACATGCCACCCCCGGGAGTAATATTAATCGCAAAATAAACAGCACACAAAGCAACTCGGGGCAAAGGATGGTCAAAGAATGTAAGTTGAATGGTCGCTGGTTCAAAGCAATCATAAATCTCTCAACTTAAAAATGTAGTATCCACCGGAAAGTTATAGTTCCACGAAAGCATAGGGTTTGTTTATGCTATGTAGCAAGTGGAGCAATATGTGACCAATCAACCAATTAATAGAATAGAGAGCTACTGCCACTGCCAGGATAAGGAAATTGTTTTGTGCCACCATGCCTTGGATGGGAGTAGCTCAAGGACTAGCGGAGATGCTTCCTAACAAACACCAGGAGACTATGTAAATTTAAAACTAATTAAACGTGAGATCCAAGGGGTATCTTTCAGACCTCAGTGGTCAATGGTTGGACCGCATCTCCGTCTATCTCATCCCCCAACGTACATCATCAAGCCATTACGATAGGTGATGAAATCCCTGCGCTTTACTTCATAAACTTCAGAATCTGACAATTCATAAACTTGCCCTTCAACTAGCCCCTCTTTGAAACACATTTTTATCTGTGTGCGTGATGTATATTGGCTTGCTTGGTTTGTCCCTGCAAGTGATAGGTCGAAAGAAGCATCAGCATGTTGAGAAGACCAAAAAATAACGGTGCTAACTACGCAATTCTATTTGGTGTCGAGGTTCAGGCAGGGAATGTGCCAGTCACCTTGTCGTCGATCGAAAAATCTCGAGGCTGACCCCCACGTCGTCGTGATTTGGATTGAAGGTTTCCCACATCAGTGGGATGCACACCCGGACCCGGACTCTGTACCTCTGCTTTGAAGCTGTTAATTCAGACAGTGGGGTGAACTGAACCTCAGCTGCATCCATTTTGGCATTGATGGCTTGAAACTTAAACTCTGCATACATCTGGACACAAAATGAAATAAATACAGTTATCAGTCCTTTTCTGGTGTATCTACATATGCCAAGCCCAACAATTGTGCAAAAATCTTACGAATGTACAGCAATATTTTTCACCATGAAGCTGAAAAAACCTGAATGAGATGCGAGATGGAGCCGCTGTCGCGCTTGAGCCTCGAGCCCACCCGACCCCACCACCACCGTCCATCCCCGCCTGTCTCCACCACCACCAGGCGTGGGCGCTGGCTCTGGCCCAACCGCCGTTTCCGGTCACCCGCGGCCGGCGTCGCCAGCCCGACCATCCCTCTAAACACCCCGCACCACGGCATCTTCTCCGACGCCGGCGAGCCCCCGCACTCTCAACCCTAACCTACTCAGGCAGTCTCCGTCTCCGGTGGCTCGTCAACCGCCTCATCTCCGCCGGAGACAGCCGCGTCGTGCTCCGGCTTGGCCGCTTCGCCCCCATTGACGATTGGTTGTCAGCAGCAACCTGCCAACCTCCTTTGTGTGTTGGCAAGACGAAAAGACTAGAATACCCTTTGAGCTAAAATATATAATCAGATTTGGGAGGGGCGCGTGTGTAGAATTGTACTGTAGCTAGGACCTTCTAGATGATGTGAAATAATCAGTTGCAATGCATCATGTTATTTGGATTAAATAGCCTGATTTGGTCCCTCGGGTGGCACGCTGGAGAGGCGCCATGAATGCGTCCTCATCGAACCAAAAAAAAACCCATTAGACCGATGGGTTTTGGTGCAGGCCCTCCCATCGACCCGACATGGCGGACATGTCCGGCCGCTCCATAGCCATCCCACATACGGGTTGGGTGTGGGGATGCCCGATAGCCCAAATGTCTAGAGCCAATTTTGAGGGGTTAGGTTGGGTGGCAAATTTGTGACCAAGCAATGATCGGGCCATCTGCACGAACGTATATAAATGGTTTGAGGGGGAGTGCGGAGGCAGGGCTCCATGGAGCTCATTTTGCAAAAGAGTAAAAATAAATAAGTTTCAAGAAAATGTCATTTTCTTATACAAATACATATGCATGTTCTTCGAGTATGTACAAAGTTTCATCAAGTAATTTGATTATTTGTATGCTACACAAAAAAGATAAATATCTGACCCAAAAACAACAAAGAAAAGGCCCATTTTAATCTGTGTATTTATTTTTTTTTTGTGTACATTACATATGAACATATATGTTTATGAAATTTTGTACATGTATACTACAAATATGCATCTGTGTATATACATTTTTTCAGATTTTTCAATATGTGGAAATTGTATTTTCCTTGGAGAAAAAAAAATAAAGAGCTCTATGGAGCTCGGCCTCTGTATGTACCTTTCGGTTTGAGGGGTCTAAAATATTAAGCAGGTGGTCGGTTCGCACGCTAGAGAGTGGGAAGGGCGCGTCCCGTCTTATCTTGCGGTCTGCGCTGACGCTCGTCTCTCTCTGTCTCTCTCGCCGTGGCGTCAGAGGCGTCAGAGCTTCAGTTCCCTGGACCGGAGGGCGGCTCGACGCGACGCTTGTCGTGGTGCCGACGACAGATATTGACAGCACTGACCGTACGCCCGCTCGCTTGCTTTCCCGTCGGCCTGTGCATATACCGTCGAGCAGCTGGAGCGGCCGACGGGGTGACCAGCGCCAGGCTTTCGGACAAAGCCTCCTTGGTTTGGAGCTACAGAGCGTAGCAAAGCAAATGAATAGTGCCGAGGGAACCATGGTAGCTGTAAATCACAGGAGATTCAAGTGCAGGGGAAAGAATGTAGCAGCCATGTATGAACAGAAAGTTTCCGCTGGTGACGCGGTTCATCAATCTGGTTCAATCGAATGGAAATTCTTTTTAAAAAAAAATTAGCACGAGAGCTCCCGCGTCGCTGTACATAAGATATTACTCACTCCATCTGAAATTACTTGTCGCGGAAAGGGATGTATCTAGATATATTTTAGATCTAAATACATTTGTTTTTATCCATTTCCGCAACAAGTAATTTGGGACCGAGGGAGTTGCTGAAATATATCGATGTAGAGAAATTGAAAGATCTTCACGAATGAAACTCCTATGGTAAGATCATGGAAATTCAAGCTGAAACCTGACATTTAACTGGTTAGGATCAGGACAAAATCAAAGAATGTGGACAGTCTGGATCAATGGATTGATTCCTTGGTCCTCTAGGTTTCCTCTCCCATTTTTTTTTAAAAAGGGAGAATACCCCGGCCTCTGCATCTGGACGATGCATACGGCCACTTTATTGATTATTAACACAAGACCTTACAAAGTCGTACAACAGTAAGACCAAAGCCACCATCTTCGCAACCTCTGTCGCTACTCCTATCTAACTGATGAAGGGGCGCTGATGGTCTGGACCTAATACCAAACAGACCTCGCAGCCAAACCTAACATCTTAGACCTGAGGTCCCAACCAGGACTCCTTCCGGGTATGGGCACCCACCAGTCCGGCGTGCTCGTCAACCAGGCCCCCTGCCGGGTATGAGGCCGCCGCAGCCACGTACCATCAATCCATCTTCAGAGCTGAACTGTTGCATGAACCGTGTCAGGCCTCACTGCCATCGACGCCACCACGACGCCAGACAGCGCCACCACCCTGCACTCGTCCATCATCACACGCCCATCGGCGAGACCCCCGCTGCTCCATGCCGCTGAGCCTCGCCGTTGTCAACCTGCCAGATGCCACGCCGCTCCTCCTCTTGTCCCCTCCAGTCAACACTTGCTCCAAAACGATGCCCCCAGGAGGGAGAACGACATCGAAACGTTGCCATCGTCCGATCCGGTAGATCCAGATCAAGGGTTTCCCCCGGAGCCTTTCGATCAAGTTGACGTGACCTGCAACGACGATGCCTCGAGAAATGAACGACGTCCGAGACGCCGCCATCGTCCGCCATGACCGCAGTCAGACGCGATTTTCACCGGAGGCCACGGCGTCCCGAT